TTTGTATGGCACTAAATAAATATCATACAACTTTAATACAAAAAAATAGTCTATTTTGGATAACAGCAGTATTTTCAGTGGGTCAGTCTGCACCTTGAGTCTTAAACAAATGACTTCTGCAGGCTAACACTGGGAGCTGGAAGGACGGGTGTAGCAAAAGTAAGGACCAGTTGGGACAGTCGTTTTAAAATGGAAGCAAAGTAACCAGGATACTAAGGAGTGTAAGCCATCTACCTTCCACAGGCTTTAAGCAAATATTGACTGGAGAATCAAACAGAGGCAAGGAGGCTCTCAGCTACAGCCTGACATGCAGGCGAGGTCAGGCTTTCTAATGATAAGGTGAGGCTATAGGAGTTTTCTGGAACAGTAAATGATGATGGGTATTTAAAGGAGACATGAAGACAAAATTAGGGTGATAATATGCTTAAAATAGAAGAAGACAAACTGGTAGAGATGGCTTGATGTCAGTTTTTTTTGACAAACCCTAAGGTCACTTTCGAGCATTACATTTTTGAAGTATTTTTAGATGGATATGTGTGGTAAATATTTAGTATCATATCCAGTTATAGGTAGCTATTGTGTACAAAACATTATGTTCAGAAACTTTTTTTAGTTTGTAATTTATTATCAAACAACTAAAACTGTTTGCATTATATTGAATATAGAAAAACGTATTAATGAATGGCATAGGAGCAGCAATGGTTGAATACTTCAGCATAGCATCCTGGTGACAGATGGCTTGTATCAGATCTGTGTGTGTGTGTGTGTAGGTGTGTGTGTGTGGGTGTGTGTGTGTGTGTGTGTGTGTGTGTGTGTGTGTGTGTGTGTGTGTGTGTGTGTGTGTGCAGTTAATGTTTAGTTAATGATTAACATAACCTCCTATTAAGGCCACCTCTCTGGCCTGCCTGAGGTCTCGCTTTGTTACGCAGAAAATGATTAGTGATGAGCTGACCACAGTGGAAAAAAAACAAAAAAAAAACATGTTCCATGAATTTGCCAATGGGAAAATGATTATCAAAAGCACACCAAAGGAGGGAGATCAAGAGATTATCACCCCCAGGTCCTGCTAAATGTCAGCCTCTTCAGCACAGGTGGGACTGATCGCTGGTCTGTATTTTTTTCTCTTTTTTTTTTTTTTTGTACTGGTTTCCAGTTCAAATAGAATTCAATGTACATATACGAGACATAAGTTTACAATCTTGCATTTGAATCTTTTACTTCTTCATATGAGACCACAATAAAAGTTGCTCTGACGGTACCTACAAAAACTTTACTGGAAAAAAAAAAACGATACTCTTCAAACTTTGGAAACAACATTAGTCTTAGCTGCTTTCTTTCATCTAAAAACTGTGGAAACAATGAGTTAGTCTGAGCTGCTTCCTTAGGAGCAGTAACTGCTGCCAGCTGTATGCAAATAAGACAATGTACCTGCTTGGTGAAATAAAGGCTGCAACACACCTGGTGTTAGTTACTAAAAGAATTATCATCATGGAGATCTCAGATGAAATACTGGCTCTAACTTTACTCTTTATGAATTTTTTTTCGGTTTTTATAGAACTTTATGAGTCATACTGGTGCTTCTTATCAGTTTCGCATATGCGACAAAATGACTGGAAGAAGAGTTTTGAGCAGCATTCATCTCATTTGCGCAGTCCAAGTCCAAAAGTCAAACTTCGTGCCTTTTCCAGATGCCCACCCGTACCTGCGTAACGCGAGCCGAACGAACAAAACTTCATCTTCAGGTATTGTACGTGAGGCTCAACGTGAAGCAAATACAGAGAAAAGTGAGGAAAAGTCACAAACGGTGCGGCGTGATGCTGCTCTGGAACATAGCAGCTGGCGTTTCTCTTCTCCACTGTCTGAAAGGGGGAAAGGTTTTAAAAAGTAAAATAAATTAGGAACAATATCGAATAGCACCTAGAAACTAGTGAAAGAATTGATGCTCTGCATGAACTTACGGCCTACCTTTAGAAGAAGTAAAGCAATAAAGGAAGGGAAATGTGCAAGCTTGGTCCCCACCTTTCCCACGCATTGAATGTGTGCGTTTTGTGACAGGTATGCACCTTTTATACTTCCCCACGCCCCCCCCCCCCTCCTCCCTCCATCCTCCATTCTCCTCCCCTGTTAGTGGATCCTCTGGGCGCAGACACCTGTCGCACGGTGCGTTGCTCTGATCCAATATTGACATAAAGAGGGAGGGGCACGTGTGTGTGTGTGTGTGTGTGCGTAAAACACGCGCGACCAAAATGAATTATTCCAAAGCGCGCGCCCTCCTCCTCTTCCTGCTCCGGTGTGCCAGGCAACGACATGTGTGACCTCTGCGCCTGCACTGAACTGTAAAAAGCCTCATTGTAAAGTAGCTACCTGACGACAAGCTCAAGCCGTGCTACACCGCTTCTGTTCTGGGATTATTTTCATACACTTTGCCTTGCAAATGCCTGCGTGGAGCTGACGGCTCACTTTGTTCCACAGCTTTTTGAAGGAAGGTTGACTTATGGTTGTGTAGATTGGGATGGATTTTAGTTCACATGGGTCACAAATTCAGAAATCCAACCAGAGGTACAAAGTTATTGATTTCATGTGGGGGAGTCTGAAAAGTCCTGGCATTACGTGGAAAATAAAATTGCTCACCTTGTTAAATCATACTAAAACCTTGTTTAAGAACATTTCTTTTGTCAGTTTCACTTCCTGTGCTGTCCTCATTACTGCTGGACCGAAAAAAAAGGGGAAAAAAATCTATCAGTTAAGCAGAACCTGTCATGAAGAAAAGTAAAAGTCAACACATATTATGATTTAAAGCTAAACATCACAAATTAATTATCAACTCTTAGACTGGAAACAGTTATAAATACATTTCTAAGGCTTTTAGGGTCTTTGGCTGGCAACCCACACTGATAGTCATTATCCATAAATTAAGAAAATATGAACATTCACCAAAGTGGCTGGACTACAAGAAGTTATCCAAGAGTTCAACAACTTATCCACGAGATCATAAATAAACCCAGAATGTCTTAACCACTGGAGGTCACACTTTGTGCTGTTAAGGACAGAGTTCGTAATTCTCCAGTAAGAAAGAGACTTGGCAGAATTACAATTCCAAGGTCTGAACTTTTTGATCATAGAAAGTAGAAAGACCAAAAATAAAACAATCTTAATGATCCTAAAGGTTGGTGGTGTTCAGTTGGTTGGACAAGCAAATAAGCAACAGAAAACTCAGTCATGGCCATCGCCTTCCTAAGCAGCTGTGCTCAATTCTCATTTCCCCTCAGTGCTGTGTCTGGGATTTCTCCCATTGAGCTTGATTTCTCCAGTTGAATTTCAAACGCGTCAATCACTGAATAGAAAGAGAAGTTCTGAACAATTGACATTGAGTTTCTGCACTGTTTTGTCTATGGTTATAGTTTGGCAAAGGCAGCAGAAGAAGTAAATTGAACCATTCGATCTGTGTTGGCCACGATTCCAAATATTGATCAATTAAAGTTGGAACAAGAGGAATGTAGAAAACATTTTATTTTATGCAAAGATCTTGTAGCCCTTATCCACAAGGGCATGTTTTCAGTGCACACAGCTTCATCAAGCTGGCGCATTACATCCATCATGACCAACAACAGCATTTGGGTAAAATCAGACGCAAGCACTTAAAACTTCAATAGAATCTACGTCTCAAACAAGCAATCGTTCTCAATAGACAAGGTCCAGACTCTGTGAGGGAAAGCATTGAACACTTTGTGATGGTTTTTACCAGTGTACTCAGTCAAGATGAAACTTATAAAATCTTCTCTTTTTTACACCCAAAGACTGAAGGGTACCCAGAGGAGGGAGCCGTATCACTGATGTCAAAATGCACGACTGGCTACAGATAATCCTTCCACACAGAAGATCACACATCACACTACCCAGACAGCTAGTCAATAAGAGATCTTCATGTCTGCTGCAAATTGGCAGGTCACTCCCCTAATGTATGGGTTAATGGGTTGGATTAGAGAGTAAACATACCCCCAGGATATTTTTAAAATTAGATTTTATACTAATGGGTAATTCACAGTTTAAATTACAGGAGCAGATATTGGGGAAAAAACTATGTGAGGATAACATCATGAGAATAAACATGTATATACTTATTATCCTTTAGAGATGCTGGGTGGTGACTTGTAACAAGATGCGTTTGAAAAAACAAACAAAAAAAAACATCTCACACCTCTTAAAGTGAGGAGTGCAGAAAACTTTCCTTAGAAAAATGCCTGAAGCTTTTAGATGGCTAGAAGCATCTCAATTAGGTAATTTCAGCCAAAGTGGGTTACTTATTGCTTATTCTACATTTATGTTTGCATTAGATTAGCTAAAGAGTAAAACAAGGTTAGTAGTTAATTGGAATTAATCCATTTTTGATTGCAGAGATAAAAAAGTAGTTTAAAGATCAGTATCTGAACATGATTTAGTACTCTAAAATGCATAAGTGTCTCCACGAGGCTTATTATATACAAATGTGAAATGCAAAATAAAAGATGTTAAAATGCTATGAAAAACTGAATTTACTTATAATCGGCAGCAAATCACTCATTTAAAATGTATGTAGATATAAAACCTACAGTTTAGAAAGTTCTTTTAAAGTTGTCATATATTTGTCTTCCAACTCAAGATTTTGCCGATCTAAAGCAAACTAAAGCGTGGAGAAATTACATTTTAACATTGACAAGCTTTTTCACACATTACATTAAAAACAACATAAAAACATTTGTCACAGGGTTTAAACCTTCTAACTTAAGTAATTAATGTGCATTAACTGAAATCAGGAATTGCATTTACTTACAATTAAAGGCTAACATTTTTGAACAGGACAACAACAGATTACACATACCAATTGTGGCTACATGTTCTTGTAATCAAGGCCTTAAAAAATGTAGTTTTCAGTGCTGGCCAGACAGAAATTTGTCTCACTATGTTCTAAGAAAAAAGAAAACAAACAAAAAAAAAGAACAGAATGTCAAAAGCCTCTCTGGTTATTTGTGGAAATCAACATTTATTTATTTTGTAATACAGTTTGTTTTTAATAGTTTCCTAGCTTTGGAAAGCTCTTAAAGCAAATTGCATACATTTCCTGTATGTATCAAACTCTTGTTTCCATGAAATACAAAGATCCAACGCCAGTACTGTAAAAATAACATTTTATCAAGTAAAGCCCGCAGGACAACACTGGCCCTGTACAGAAGCAGCTACAACACAAAACTCAATTTCTGTCTCATTTTACAAGCAGTTTCGGTGACTTAATGTGTCGTAGTTCAAACACCCATCAAATCAGGTCGTAACTCATGGGCTGCCTAATTTTACATTATATTACGAGGAATGGATGGCAAACATTGGTCCTCAATGCAGCAATGAATCAGGTTCTGTTCACTTCGGCTCTTCAGTCAACAGCAATTCGATGTCGTAAAGCTGTTCTAAAACACTGTTAGACTGAAAATACAATTATTAAGTAGGCCTCACACTGTAAAAGTTGCTCACATTTTTAGGAGTGTTCTTAGAAATTTCTGATACTAACCATGAAAACAAAAGATTTTACGTTTTTGATCAAACACAAAGGTGGCCAAGTTCCAATTTCATCTAATACTTTATGAGTTTGAGTTAGAAAAAAATACTGCAGCAAAGATACTGTGTTTTAAAATGCCATGAAATCAAATCAACATATGTATAATCATAGTCACCAGTGATTATTTGTAGTAAATCAGGGTAAATCTTGTTGGAGCAACAGGAAATCATATCAAAGGACGGTGAGGGAAAAAGAGCTATTTTGATCAGCTGATCAAATACGAAAAAAGATAAAATCTAAAATTTTTCCTAGTGATTAAATGCATCAGAACTAAGAACTCCCACCAATTTCAGAAAATAAACACATCAACTGGCAGAATGCACAGCAATGCACTCTATTGAGGGATGTTTAGTTTGATGCATACAATAAACTGATTATTTATTAAATTTAGATGGATTCAAGATGACTACCTCTATCTCCCTCTGTAGAGGCTACAGCACATTAAAACTGAAAATCGATATTGGCCAGGAAAAGCCTGATCTGTGATCTCTACACTTTTGCATTCCTGCTTTAGCAACAAAGCCTTCAGGATCTTTCACAAAACTGAAAATTGAAGGGTGATACATATTTCATATCACTTATATGAAATCACTGATTAAAATAAAAACAAAAACAAACAAACAAACAAAAAAAAAAACTTTCTTTAGATAGGTACCATGTGTTACCAATACGTGTTGGTTGAAATGTCCCCTGAATGTTTGCTGCCCACCTATACAGACAGTTAGTTGTAGTTCAGCGTAATGATGAAACTCCTGAGATCTTACTGGTCGCTCTGACCCGATCTCCTCTTGTAGGCATCCCAGCCCGACTTTCTATACGACTCGGCAGCTTCGAGCCTATCAGACGCTTCCAAAATGCCTCGTCCCACAATGATGACATCTGAGCCTTTGTTGTAGATTACGTCCTCTGGGGTTGTGTACTGTTGGCCCATCAAATCCCCTGGGTGACAAAAAAAAACACACACAAAAAAAACAAAAAACAAAAAAAAACAAAAACAGGGGGATCAGGAAAGTTGTGAATAAGAAAGAGAGATGAATGAGAGGTTCAACAAATAATTTCTAAAGCAACAGCACCACCTTGTGTTGGAAAAGTGTCATTAAATCTTTGAAATAATAATAAAAAAGACTAAAAAGACATTTTAAATTACCAGCAATTATGGTTTTATGATGATATAATTGTATAAACTATTAACCAAAAGAAGTGTGAAAACAATGCTATCCGTCATACATCTCTACACACCAGAACACCTAAATCATGGCACCTGTTGAACAAAGAAATTCAGATCCTGGCAGTTTCCCACAACAAAGAAATGACAAACTGACATGAAGTGAAGTTTACCTCCAGCCTTTATCTGCACACCTGGAGTCATGTGGAGAAATTCTGGTTTTTCAGTCATCTTAGAGGCACAGATGAATCCAATAACAAAGTCTGAGTTTTCCTCTGCCATCTTCACCTGGAGAGAGAAGAAACAAAGCTGCAGTAAACCCTGAAGCACCATGTATTGTGAAAAGAAGACCTCAGCAGAAAGGTGCTTACCACAGCTTGTGTGTATTCACCAGTAGCCAGAGAGCCTTGGGAGCTCATCTGTGCAATGAGCAAACAGCCTCGGCCCAGAGGCTTCCCCACAGCGCTCAAGCCCTTCACGACCCCGGGCCCCGGCACAGCGTGGGCGTTGACGATGTGGGACCAAGACGAGATCCGGAACACACCTCCTGGAGAGAACAAACACCAATTCAGCTCAACTGTGAAGATATTTTATACATCTGGTTGCTCTTTCGAAGAAAGGAAGAACTGTCTAACATGAGCTCACCCTCATACTGATGCTTGACTGTATTTCCAATGTCAGCAAACTTGCGGTCTTCAAAGATGAGAAAGTTGTGTTCTTCAGCCACAGCTTGGAGTTTCTGGCTGAACTCTTCTGTGAAATCCTGATGGTTCACAAAAAACATGAGTTTAAGTGATTCAACAAAGTTCTTTAAGCAAAAAAGTGCTTCTCTTCTACCTTCAGGATGTCACAGTGAGTCTTCAACATGCAGATCTTTGGACCGAGAGACTCGGCCAGCTGGAGCAGCTCCTTGCTGCTCGTCACGTCAGCGGAGACGCAAAGGTTGGACTCCTTCTCCTCCATGATCTTGAGAAGTGTAGATGCCAGGGGGTGAATTTCTGCAAACCAACTGATGTTAGCATACCAAATGAGCAAGCCATTTGATTTAAAAGAAAGATATTACGTACTTGGCAGCTCTGCTCTGTCTGCATAGCTCAAAATTCGGTTTGGTTCCACACATGGTCTCTTGGGAGCTGGAGCATCACTGCCGTTTGTCTTCTTAGGCCTGAAAGATGCACAATAAACATGAAGCTAACTCAGTGCGACTTACAGAAGTATTTCGATTTTTGTATCTTGCAACAAGGCAACCACTAGCTTCATTGTATTTTGGGGGGATTTTATGTGATAGACCAACGCAAAATAGAGCGTACATGGGAAGTGGAAGAAAAAAAATTACAGTATTTTCAAAGGTTTTGCAAAAGAAATATATTAACAAACCCAAAATAGAGAACAACAAATCACAGAAGAGACTTAATGTTGCCAGCACGTATCTCAAAAAGAAAAAGGATTAATAATTATTAATAATAATTAAATTATTAATTAAATAAATAATTGATCAATTATTAATTAAGTTAATTAAGCATAAATTGAGAACCAGAAAACTAGGTATATTTATGATTTTTTAAGGCCCAAAAGGCTTTATCAGTGCTGACAGCCACCCAGCAGAAACACAAAAAAACACTTTCAGCACCTGAAAGTGTTGTTGTCCAGGATGAACTTGCGGACACTCTGGGCTGTCGGGGCATCGATGCGTTCAGCTGCAAGCAGCACATCCAGCAGCTTAAACATGGAGATGATGGGCAGGAGCCGAATTCCCCGAGATGCTAACATGTCCACCCCACCTTGCTCCCTGTCCATCAACACAATGGCATCTGTCACCTTGAACATGTAGAACAGAGACATCCCATGAACATCACGCCGTTTAGAAGAATTTATTTGAAAAAGCTTCGTGCCGCAGTGTCTAAACGTCAGTGAGTGTTCACCTTCAGCCCCTCTTTATGGAGAACCTCTGCCGTCTCCAGGATGCTGCCGCCGCTGGTCACTGTGTCCTCAATGATTAAACACGTATCTCCCTCACAAAATGACCCCTCCACCATCTTCTTAGTTCCTACAGGAAGGTTAGATAAGAAAGATGTAGGGGACAAAGTGACCGCTAGCTGGGCCTTGCTATGCAAGAAAACTCACCAAGAATAGTGTATTTCTGATTAGAAACTAGCCTGACTCTGTGTTTTGAGAGCTTGATAAATTGAGATAGGCTCACCATAGTCCTTGGCCTCTTTCCGCCTGATGAGCATGGGCAGTTCGTGTCTTGAGCAGATAATTGTGGCCAGAGGCAGGGCCGTGTACGGAACCCCACACACCGAGTTAAACTGAAGGTTCTCTTCCTGCGCTCGCTGGTAGATGACGCTCGAAACCTGCGAAGAAAAGCAAAACGTGTTGGTGTTTGGTGGCCTTCACTAAAGCTGCTTCCTCAGTTCTCCGATCCGCATAGAAAGGTCCCGCATCGTTTTAACAATTGCTGAAATGTAGATATAAGTTTCCTTCCTCCACAAACACAAGACAAGCCATGTGGAAAAGGTGCAGTCATAGGTGTAAGATCGATCCCCTCTCATGCCTTCAAGTCATTTACACCAGTCCTTGCAAAAACCAGGGAAACTGGGACGTTTTAATTGCAGATATAAATGTTTAGAGTCTGTTTTTCTTCTAATTATAACCTTGTCCCCTCTTTGATCTGCACTTTGTTTACCAGGGATAGCGAGTTTACAATCTTTTTCGAGACTAAACGGTAGTGGTCATGGCCTTTGAGCCTTGGTACTGTGGGTCACCTGGGTATTTAGTTAACTGCACTTCTTTCCATCTTTCCACCTATAAATTATTGCAGCTTTTTCTTTATTTATATACTTTCTTTCAAACAAACACCACGACATAGAGGATCTTTAATACAGTTACTGCAGCTTCTTCTGTAATTCAACATTTCATTCATGCAGTTCAAATGCATCTCTAATTCAAAAATGTATATTTTAAGCAATAGTTCCACCTACACTTTAACATTTCTCCATGTTTACTACCCTTACAGAGAAGATGTATCATGTTGAGCCTATCAGATCGATGAAAAAGTTGCTGCAATGTAGTTTACAAAGAACAGCTTTCAAAAATTATTGCAGAACCGCAGATTATTTCATGCATTTGCAAAGGTAACATTGCTCTCTGCTTCTGAACCAGATCAATCCAAACGGGGTCAAGTCACCACTGATAAGCAGTTTCACAAATCCTTAAAGTCTAGAAAATTTCGATAAAGCCAGTGATTTGCTGAAAATCAATCCATTAAGAGGACTTTGTCGCAGTCGTGTAAATAAACCAATACCAACAAAGATTAACTTAGATTATTTTGTAGGTTTTTACCCTGGAAACAAAAGCCAGGCGAAGTTTTCTGGAGTTTATGCCATATTTTGATAGTTTTAACTTAAGCGTGCGCTGTTTAACGGGAAGGGAACCACGTGCTCACCTGGTTCATCAGAGCAGGGTGGGAAACCAGAACCCTCAGGTCGATATAAATCGGTGTCAGCAAGCCGCTCTTTAGCTTGTACTCTCCGAACTTTACTGCGTTCACATCGTGCAGCTTCAGGATTAAACTGTCAATAGAAACATCCGCCATTGTTGCGTGTTCAGAAGCTACTTTTCTCAAAACTTAAGCTGAAACACGGTTCCTCCCCTAGGAAACGGCTAAAAAACAACTTCCGTGTCATCCTTTCAGAATAAGTGACAAGAATCTTTGACACAGTGGGCAGTAAGTGGATAAACAACTACAAAATAAATTATGTTGCGTGACTAATGTAAATTTTCCGAAAGTATTTTACGTCCTTTATTTACAAAACCTACGGTTGTGTCGTCTTATATGATAAATACTAACAATGGAATAGATGTTTGTGTTAACATTCAGGATTATGACACTATAAAAATCAAAAATGGGAGAAAGAAACATCTTTCTCAAGTCCGAAATAATCTTTTTTTGTTTTTAAAACATATTTCAAGGTGCTTGTTTTATTCTGAAAACCTGTCTGCTAAAATATGACGCCATCTTGCTCAGGGCAAGAATGGCGAGAAAGATATTAGAACTCTAAATTAGGTATTAATTTGGTTGAAAAATTAATCTTAACTTTAATATATATACAAAAGCTCCTTGCTTCTTTATATGTAATAAACTTTAATACTATAAGGATGTAAAGAATACATCCTTCAGATAATGAATTGGTAAAAAATGCGATAGTTTAAACAAACTGATTAAGACTACATTAATGTAGCATAATCACACCACATACACTGTATCTATCTGTATTCTGCAGCATGTAAATTGTAATGCTATTCTAAAGAGAAAATGACAACCACATTATTTTCTTTTGGATTTATTAAAAAGGTTCGGTCCACAGTAGTTCAGAGTCTGGCAACAATATTATTAACAAAACAAAAGAAAAACCAAAAACAGTAAATAAAAATAAAGTTTACACCCCAAAAATAGCACTGAGCAAAATGCCTAAGTAGAAAGGGATAAATAGAAGTAAAGACTTTAAAAATACAAACATGTAATTTAAACAGATTTTGTTTGCAAATTTATCAACAGTTTTGGTCAGTGAGCTTTGAGTTTTAATTTTTTTTAAAAAAGGTTATCCATTTCCTTATTTTAAGAAAATACTTATTGTCGGCTACAGATGATATCCACATCTGACGAATTAAAAAAAAAAATGTACACAGTAAAAACGGCTGGTAAATATAATACCACACCAAAAGTAACAGTGCTTATTTTTTAAAAGGAAGGTTTGTTTAGTTCATTTTTCTTTTCATTTAAAAAGCAGAGTTGGCAAATGAATTCCTAAACTGCCCAACAGAAAGCAGCACACTGACCACAGAAAGACAGAACACCTGAAAGTAGATTTAAGAAACAATAAAATACTGTATGGCTTTGCAATTTCTTTTCATAAAAAAATATTTCTGATTTGGAAATATTTCGACATTTGAAAAATGCAAGTTTTTGTAAAATATTTTTTGAACATTGAATTAATTTGTTTCAGTGGCACAAAAATAGGCAAGATGTAAATTGTTAAAACAATTTTAAAACAATTTTTGTATATTTTTAGAATTACTCCAAAACCCCTTGTTTCTGTGTGCAGCACAGTATGTTTTGTGAATGCGAGTTTAAGGTGACGTTGCAGGAGTATTTGTGCTGTGAGAGATTTGTGTAAAAAAAAAAAAAAAAAAGTGTTAAAAATTCTCCACTTTTTGCTGGAAATTATAGAGAATCAAATCACTCCAGATCTTTAATAAGGCACAGAGTTCTTTAAGGCACAAAATGTAGGTGCGGTGAAAATCCTTAAGGCACAAATGTGATGGAAATGTTGTTTCTTGATGCAGCAGGAGAAAGCTTCCTTCTTGAAGTGATGACATTTTAAAGGGTTTCACTTCACGATTCCTCCTTTCTTCCCACTCCTCTTCTACTCTAAGGGGCTTTGAGCATCTGCTAGCAGCTCTGGATTTAAACATTCAATCGGACACTGGATGTTCTGAAAGAAAACAACAAGAAAATGGGTTTTATTGCTATCTGGGATTAATAGAATCACAAACACATTTTTAAAAGGTACAGAATGCCAACCTTTTCCAGCTGGCATTTTTTTTTTTTTTTTTTTTTGCACTAACCATCTACAAAATGCTCAAACCATCCATAACAAAAAAGTTCATCAATCATCACAAAATGAGTTCCTGATGCTCAGTTCAGTACAACAAAACAGAGTTTCATAGATAAACTCAATAACCTTTCTAAGAGCAAAAACATCCACTGACCAGTTTACGTAGAGCATTTTCCCGGTAGCGCTGGAAGGCATCTAAGCCACCAGGCTGCAAGACCTCAGCCTCCACATTGGTTTGTCCTCCAGGCCTTCTGCAGTTCTCACATCGCCAGCCCTTTACGAGGAGTTAAATAACACAGTCAACACAAAAATAAAAGCTTTCTGACCATTAAATATATAAATGTTATGACCAGCTGGTGCCTTTATGTGCACCCAGACCAAACAAAGTCCAGCAGACACAAACAATCAAACAAAAGTTCATACAGTTTCTTTTAAGAGTTTTTTTAGACAATGCTAAATTATGCACATACAAAGGCAAGATTAAAGAGTGCTATGAAAAATTTGAAAATTCAATTTTCCAATCAAAATGTACACTGTAATTGCTAAGAGGTTGCTAAGAACAATACTCTTGTGTGTTGTGGACACTGTTCTGCTACAGAGGGAAGAACACTACTGGTTAGGGATTTCAAGCATCAGTAAGGCTTTTAAAAAACAATGTTTGAGGAAGCACAAATGCATTAAGAATTTGGTTGAAAATGTGTACTTTTTGAAGCATATCAACTCTATATGTATTCTGCCATATGACCCTTCAGCAGATAACAGAAAACCAAGCTTCTCCATTCTTTTGAACATTTGACATTTTTGAACGTTTTTGAAAAACTATGTGCCAAGTAACTTCAACTCTCCTCCTTCCAGAAATAAGGACTGATCAAATCTTTCTAAAAATGTAATTTTCTAAACTTTTTCATAGCATCTCTATTTTATTTTTTGCGAACTTTAGACAGACATTACACTGTTATTAAAATAACATGGAAGGAGGGGTGTCTAAAAAGCAAAAAATGCAAAAAATGGAAGACGCAGACACTTTAAAAATGCTGAGTCACTGGTTGCTTTAATGATTCCCCCCTTTTCTGGATCACAGATCTTTGACCCAAATCGTTTATCACACAAAAAAATAAACAATATTTCAATAAGCACCTGATTGAAAAATTTTTTTTCTTTTTTTTGTAAAACTCTAAAAAGCCATTCATTACTTACATGTTTTTATCAAACTGACTGGGGAATATGAATATTGAGCGGGGATAAATCTGTTGCATAATAACAAGGCTCAAAAGTTTTGTATTACCACCAGGATTAAGGCATTGCAGCCTCATCTCACCTGTTGTCCTCCATAGCAGGTACAAGTACAGATGGCACCCATGTATTCCTTCTGCCACTGGTTCCCAACTTGGTACATTTTTCCATCATCATAGCAAGTGGACTCATCTGGAAAATAAAGCAGAGTAATAAAGATCAACGAAAAACAATTTACACGATAATAAAGCGGGAGTATATAATAATTTGAGATTTACAGAATTAAAATTCTGAGTACGTACGTGGCTCGCATTTGAACTCTCCTTTGCCGTTGCCCAGACAGGTGCAGCTCATCATATGACCGTTCTCAGCACGACGATCCCACTTTTCTCCAATGCGGTAATTATTGCCGTTGTCATGGCACCACTCTGTGAAAGGGAGCGGGGGCAAACAAAGGCAGAGAGATTTAGAAAAGAAAGAAGGAGAGGATAGAGTTGGAGTGAAGAGGTAGATAAAGTTGTCATGAAAAAAAAAAAAGTTCAATACACGTGAGAAGACTCTCTTTAAAGAGTGAATTTATTCATATTAAACAAACATGAAACTCTCAGTGAAGTTGTCTAATTATGTTTAGAATAAACATTTTTGTTATTCCCAGAGTGAAGTACCAAATCCAGTGATTCTGACCCCTAAATCGGCAGACGATCCCAGCTCCTGGTATTGTCATGTTAGATGTTAACTGTTATGGACAATACAAGTAACTGAGTTCTGATGCTTAGACAGAGCAGAGGGTTTGGCATGGGCAGCCTTCGGGTGCACTCAAACCTCTAAAATCTGTTCAAAACACAAACCAAGGTGCCCACGCATGAATATCTGCAGCACATAGAGCATTCCTCTGTCACCTTCTATGGCATTTAATTCACAGCTAAGGAATTTATACTGAGGATAGTATTTCATGTTTATTGCCAGCATTTAATCTCAGTTCGCTGAGCAATACTACTTTAATAAATTCCTTTTGTGTAAAAATGCCACAGTGAGTTAAGTGTTTGCAAAGCACTGCAGAGAGGGGTTAGTAAGCCACTCACTGGATGAATCACACCTAAAGTGACCGCTGCCGAGCCCCAGGCACCGGCACCACAGCTTGAAGCCCGTCTCGGACATGCGCTCCCACTCAGAGCCCACCTGGTGGTACGTGTGTGTGAACGTGTCGTAGCACACGTCTCCATTGGAGGTAACAGGAATGTCATCTGGAACTTCAAGAGGAATTTAAAAAAAAAAAAAGTGAATTCATGCAGTCTTGTTAAAAATTTAGATGGAATGTTAACATAGAATTTAGAAAAAAATTCTCTACCTGCATTGCCAACAGTGACAACTTCCTCCAGAACTGTCTGTCTGTCTCCATCCTTCACAGCCTCTACGAGAACATTATAGGATGCTCCAGACGTCAGTCCAATCAGGGTGGCGCTGTTGGAGGTGCCTGGCAGGCGCATCTGAGTATCAAACAAGAAGGAGGCTTAGCTGTGATCACTACTTTAGATTTCATGTATATTAATATTTAAAAAAATGTCCATGAATACCTGAATGCCTCCTTCCTCCAGGTCTGTAATTGGGCTGCAGGACACCTCGTACTCTGTGGTTTCAGGGACAGGTTGCCAAGAAATGGTTGTGATTGTCTTTGCTTCTTGGGGCAGCTCTGTTTCGTTGTCAGGGAAGCCGAAAGCGAGACCCGGCAGTGGGGTGTCGCTCACCTACAGGTTCCAAAATAGGGCATGAAGGCAAAGTTAACTCATTAATGATCAGAAGACAAACAGTTCTGGTCACAATCCATTTCTAAAT